TCACACTAAGCTCTCCCCCTGGCTATATCACTAGTGGCATGGGCTGCTGCAGTCAGTCTGATCTTACCTCACTCTCCAAAGCTGACACTTTCTCCAGCTCTCAGCTGCTAGTGTCATTTGTGTGGCCATGTTCATGCTCTGCATCCACTCCTTCCACTCAGATCCATGGCATCTCTCTTCTTTCCATAGAATTTCTAGTGCGGTTTTCTAACTTTCCACTGAGAATATACCCCCTCATTTTTCCTTTTTTTACTATTTACCTATAGCCTAGAGTAATATGCCCTTTTCCTATTCAGCCATCTTGGAATCTATTGTGATATTATGATTTATTACATTTCTACATATTATAACCTCCACATACTAGTTTTAACATTGATATATCTTTTAAAGAAATTTAGAGAATAAAACATTTACTGACATATGTAGTTATCATTTCAGTATTTTCCATGGCTGTTAATTTTTATTCAATGTCAGACATTTGACATGTTGTAGATACTGTGTATATTTTTATTCCTGTACATATTTTTGAGCTTTCTTCTGGAACAAATTTATGTTTCTTGAAAACAAAAAAATTGTTTTTGCTTTTCTTCAACAGCCAGAGTGGATCACTCGGAGGAGAGAGAGGACAGAGAGAGGGTCTTTCGTCGTCGTTTGGTTCACCCTTCATATCGTCCCGCGGCCGGCGCGCTGTGGCTGGCGCACCGCGCTGATCCGATGGCAGGAGCCAGGAGCCAGGTGCTTTTCCTGGTCTCCCATGGGGTGCAGGGCCCAAGCACCTGGGCCATCCTCCACTGCACTCCCTGGCCACAGCAGAGAGCTGGCCTGGAAGAGGGGCAACCAGGACAGAATCCGGCGCCCCGACCGGGACTAGAACCCGGTGTGCCGGCGCCGCTAGGCGGAGGATTAGCCTAGTGAGCCGCAGCGCCGGCCACAAATTACTTTTTAACAACTGTTTGTCAAGACTATATCAGTGCTCAAACTCTGAATAATTATTCTAGAGTACTGAGCAATTATTCTACACCACACACCACCATTAGGTATACTCTGCACAATTTCCATTTCAATATTCCTGAAGCTTTTCATTCAAGCCAGTAGAAAACACTACCTCTAATTCTTTCAGTAGGTCAATCTTTGCCTAGTCACAGGCATAGTTTCCTCACAAGTATGCATTAATCAGTACACAAAGGCACAAATGTGGTCTCCACACATCTCTGGAGTTCTCTCTCTGTGCAGTGATCTCTCTCAAAATCTTTTCTAGAAGTCGTTCTTATTGTCTTCATCTCTCTAAGCCCTCAGCTCTATTTCCTCAACTTGAGCAGATCAATAGGCTATGACTAGATCCCCCAATCTAGCACCATATCACAGAAACTTTTTCAAAGCAACAAAACAGGCCAACTGTAGGGCTCACCTCATTTGTTTCCCATCACTTAGAAATCACTGTACTTTACTGCACATCTTGAAAACTTGGGCACACTGTTGGTTGTTTTAGGTACCAGAGTAATGTAGTTATTCTATCTTTTCTGGAAGCATAATTCTTTAGTTATTTCTCATGCATTAGAAAAACTAACTCAGTTTTAAACTAAACACAGAAGGCAGAGCAAATGAGTAACAATTTTAGAATTATTGGTGAATAGTGGCTGCTCTGTTCCTATTGCTTTCTTTTTCAATGAATCTACCTACTGCTGTTAATGAAAACTCCTCTTACTATATAGTATATTTTGGGAGTGGGAGGAATTTTGTGTGTGTGTGTGTGTGTGTGTAAGGGGTGCAGATAATTTGCCCAATCAGTTTACAGGTCTTCAGACTAAGTGGAAACACACCTAACTTTGTCTCCTTCTGTATGTGTCTTGTATGAAATGCTGAACCTCAAGACTAAGCTTACTACCCTACTTGAATTAGTCTTCCTTAGCAAATTTTGAATAAATTCATCATGTAACAATGTTTATTTGTGGCAAGGAACAAATTGTGGTACATTAAAGATAGTCACAAGTTACTTCACATTCCTCTCATCAAGAAGCAGGATTATAATAACTGTTGAATGTATGTGGACTCTAAAACAGTGCTCACAATCAGAATACAGCAAAAATGAAGTTGAACCAATAGCTGAGACCAGACCCGAAGAGACTGGCACCTTCTACATCTTATGTCTTAGAACTATTCTTTGCAATGGTTGCCCTGGTGGAAGCCAAACACTGTAGAGCAAGTCCAGCTACTCTGAAATAGCCATAACTGGAGAAAGTGACTCCTGCCAGTGCCCAGGTTTTCATCAGTCTAGCCTAGGCCCAGACATGTGAGTGAAGGAGCATTTTGAATAGTCCATGCCCAGAAAATATCATGTGAAGAACAAGGCCCTGTCATCTCCAGATGTTGAACTACTCCAGTTAAGGCCCTATACATAATTTGAAGAGGCAAATCATCCAGCAAAGCCCAGACCAAATGCTTTAGCTAAAAACCATGAGATATAAAAACAATTGTTATGATAATAAGCTATAAAGTTTTGAAGTAATTTTTAATGCAGTAATAAATAATCAGAATAGGAGAAAAATCAGGAGTTCAGCATAGATTTGTCTATTACAGATACAGATACAGATACAGTAGAAATGTCAAGCTGGTTTTGAACACATAAGTCTGCAGTTATGGATGATGTGTATAGCAAGATATAAATTTGCAAGGTATCCTCTTTAGCCTATACTAATTTTTTCCAAAATATTTATTATTTATGGTTTTTTCTAAGTAATTTATTAATTTTGTTTAATATTCACTATCCGTATTCTCCTTTTTAAACCCCTCAAAAAGAAATATATTTTATTCTCTGAGCTATCACCAGCATGCAGAATTATTGGTCGTACATGGAAGACAAATATTTGCTGAAGAAATGAGTCAACTTAAAAATTGTACTTAAAAATATTTTAACCATGAGATTACTCTGAGAGCCCGTATACTGAGTAAAAACAAAAGGTCAGGCTTGAATATAGTCATGTAAACATTTAGGAAGTTGAGCAGATAAAGAGAAACCAGTAAAAAAAGAAGTGATCAAATATGTCTGCTGACAGGTAGAACAAAATGAACACTGAACATTATTTGCTAGATTTATCTATGTGGAAGGTCACTGATGATATCCACAAAGAACAGTTTAGTAACACAGATGAGGATAAAGTCTAACTGTACAAAGAATAGAAAAAGACTGAAGACAGAAGAAACAGATCTTTTTTAAATGAGTTCAGCCGTCAACTGGAGAAATGGTTAAAGGGGGATATGATGCCAGAAATTGTTATTGATGTACTACAGAATGTTTTTGTATTCTAAAAGAAATAATCCTTTACAGAGGAGGAAAAAATAATAAATATATATAGAGAAGGGGCAACTAAATAAGTGAGAAGGGATGAAATCCAATACAGAAGTGAGTGAATTGGTCCTAGATAAGAGCAGTAAAATAATTTATCCATTATCAAAAAAAACTATAATACATGGACACAAATGCAGGTATATTCATGGATATGATCAAAAGTCCTTTCTCCTTCTTATTCCTTCAGTAAAATAGGAAGCAAGGTTATCCACTGAAAATGAAGAAGAAATTTAAAAAGTTCTTTACCACTGTACTCAAATATGCCTCTCAGAATATTTTATATTATAATTATTTATAAACATGTCTCTCTACTAAACTATAAAACAATTCGAAGTAGAAGTACTTTTTATCTTTGCACTATGAGCCGGTAACATGATTTTCTATAATAAAATGTTTAACTCATTGACAGAATAAGTCAATGTTAAAATTTCCTTTCAGACTTTGAAGCAAAGTTAAGAGTTTGAAAACATCAGTACACACATAGTACTGTCAAGCATCTAAGTGAGATTATTCAAATTACTGCAAAATTTAAGTATTAAAAAACTAAAGCCATTTAACTTCAACTTGTGAACAAAATTATAACTAGAACAAAAACATTTCTTTAACTTACCAAGGAAATAATGAGACACTGGTATTAAAATTAAATGCTTGGAACATGAGTTATACTTAGGAGATGCTTCACACTGATGTCAGATATTAAACATTTCGTGACAAAATTTCAAGGTCCAGCTTCCAAAAATTCATTTGAATAGGGGTTACTACAACAGTAACTTTGATATAAAAAAAAAAGCAGGAACATTCTCAGACCACAGCCATATTTGTGACTAGAGGGATGCTATCTTGATGCTTAATGTTGAAAGCAAATAAAAATTAAGGTATTAGGTCAAGTAAAAGACAAAAGAATATGCTTCTAACATTAAAGTATCCTCATTATCATAGCAATGTAACAATGATTTGGCTATAAATTCTAAATTTCACACAAACTCTAAATGATTATAAATTGTGCTATTAGGAACAATTACTTTTAAAAGCACCAAAATTCAAAGACATTAGTTAAAAATGCAGAAACAAAAACAAACTTGACTGATGCATATATTTTCATTAACATTTAATCAAAAGACTTGTGGGACATTACTTTTTCCTTTAACTAAAATAACAGTAGTAATACTCTAAGCTACTAGCTCTCCTGGAAAATTCTATGAAAAGAGATTCTAATTATTATTGAAAATGCCAAGTCTTATAGTTAAAAGTACAAAAGAAGCCAGGAAATAGACAACTATTTTAAAGCAGGCCCACTTTCTCTAGATCAAAGATTTGCCATACTTCCTAGATATTCTTTCAGAAAAGCCCTATCTCTAGATGAACTGAATAGCTTGGAGAACCAAGAAGTAGGTACAAAACAGGAATTTGAGCAGGTTATCCAATACATCTGCTATTACTCGTACATGGTAACTAATATGAAGTTCATAGGAGCAAGTAAGGAAGAAAACAACAAAATCCAACAAACAAGACTCTCAGAAAGCCAGGGAAGTATGCTGCCATTATGCTTCTTCCTTATGACCTGAGAATCACTTGTTTAATTAGATAACAAAGAAATACAATTGAATGAGATCTGAAGAATTAAAACTAAAAGATACACTCTAACATTTTTTACTTTTGGTGAAGTCATATGGTTTCCACCACTGAGCAAACTGCAGGGCTTTCTTCCTCTGGTCTTCAAAGTTTTCCCGAATCCCTTTCCTCCAAAGTCTTGGTTCTAAATCCAACATTCCACCAATGATTTCCTTTTAAATGAGAAAATTCATGCATATAAAAATAATGGAAATCAAAATGAAACTATTTGCTTGTTCTATTAAATAAAACATTCTCCGTAACATTTAAATATGCATAAATACTAGGTTTAAATTAAAAAATATTGCTTTTAATTAGTTCCAACTATGTAAGCTCTTTAATTATAGTAGTCCTAACCATGTTTCATCTCAAGCAATTTGCTCATGTTCTCACTTGTTAGCATATCTACCAAGCAGGAGCAAAGGAAGGGAGGTAAAATGAAATTTAATTAATTGTGTCCATATTAATTGCTCAAGAAAATTATTTGGAGAAAAAATTAATCAATACCAGCAATTCCAGTTCAATCTTAGGCTAATTTTCTCTCTGCTACCTAGTACATTTATAGTCCATTTTCTTCCACTATTAGTTGGAGATCTTTATTTATGAAACAAAATATTCCATTACTAATTACTAATTTAAGTAAATTTAAAATTAGTAAATTATAAATCACATTCCTTTTAAAAGTCACATTCTGAAGCACTGGAAGCAATGGCTTTTGGTTATCTGCTTATTATTCTAGATTATTTCCTTCATGATCCTCTTGCTACAGAAATGAATCAAATGGGAAGATGTTATACTTATCAAATGCTCACATTATCAAATGCTTACACAGAGGGCAGTATTGTAGGCATGGTATGAACACATTGCATATTCAGCCTAGTCCTACTAGACTGTGTTGTGTGACCTTGGACATCCAGCACAACATCTCTAGGATATCCCTTCACGGAAAAGGGAACTTCCTATTATTAGGAAAGGGAAACAAAGGGCGCCAAAAAAGACAGTAGTTGGTATAAGACATCAAGAGAAATGTGAAGTTAGATTCAGCACAAGTGTTTCTCAGCAACAGTCCTAGTAAATGATGTAGTTTTTAAAAGCCTTACAAGTTAGCTTGAAAAATTGTCTCCAAACATCAAGTTTTGTCTTTTGTGTACCATAGAAAATTGATTCTTTTTGTTACTGCAGCAGCTGTCAACAAAAAGAGAACAGCCTAATAGCTTTTTTTCTTGCTCTCTCAACAACTGCTGGGTGGGGTAGTAAGGTTAAACTGAGTCCATGTGCCCACGGGCTATTTCTTGGGAAATAAACTTTAGAAAAATTGGCCCAGTGACTCAGTGAGGATTAGGGAAACTTTCTAATCTTGAAAAGGTATTGTATAAGTCATAATGCCTGAATAATATATGGAGGGAAAATAATATCCCAATTAAATTAACAAGTAAAAATGAATATTTCAATTTTTTCACTAGAATCAAGTTCATTTAAAAAATTATAAATACAGAGTAACTGAACCTTCAGTTATGAAGTTCTATTCTGTGGAATAACAGGATTTTTTAGACCAATGAAAACCAATTTCTTTCCAGTTAACTCTAAAAAAGATTTTTAAAAGTTCTCAAAAAAGTCGCAACAGTTAAAAGATGTACACGACTCTTTTGGGCCTCTGGTTAACTCATTAAGGACAACAGCATAAAAAATTCTGTATCCAAATTCTAGCGCTCAGATGCCACTTGATATATCCCTGTTCACTGTTGAAGATAGTCTTATGCAAGACAAAAAAGTACAGAGGAAGGGCAAACAAGGGGTAGCAGGGGTGGGGGAGACCTGAGCAGTTCAACAAGCTCCTCCAATTTATAGGAACTGATGATACAGGGATGACATGAGCAGAGACGACTAAGCTACACTAGATTCAAAGATCAATTCTACCATTATTATTGCCCAGACTTCTTTCAACTGCACTAACTGCTATATTAATTTCATACCAGTTCCTGACAGAACCTTAAACACTTCTCACTCAGCAGATATTTAATTTAAGGATTATATCCCCTTACAAGGCAATCTTTCATAATGCGAAGAAAATAATGGGGAAACAAAGGATCTGGACCCTAGTTTCTACCTAGAAACCATCCACATGAAATCAGTCACAATAACCTGCTTATCTATAAATCAAGAGGTGAGATAATTTGCTCTCTAGTTCAATCATGACTACATGTATCTGTAGGTCTGTCACTGATTTGTATGTGATACTGGACAAGTTACATTCCTCTCTGTAGTTCAGTTTCTTCACTTCAAATGAAAGTTATAATACCTATACAATAAATATGTGGGCATTAAATGAGTGGTTAGCCCAGTAGCTGGCACACTGTAAGCCCAAGGTAAGTGTTAGTAATTACCAGCAAAGTATAAAGCTGGCTGACTCCAAAGAGAAACACTACAGTCACTGTTGACACTGTCAAGAAATGTTTGGTTCTGAACAGACACTTTTGACTCTGTTATAAATATGTGGCATATATTTGTCAATACTTTCTAGACACCCTCTGTCTAAAAATTGGGTGGAGCAGTACTCACCAACCTCATTGTACATTGTGCCCAAAAACTTGATTTCCCTTCAAAATAAAAGTGTTAGGCAAATTTCTAACTACTGGAATGTTACCACATGTGTGAATATACCTTTCCAAAGTAATGAGGGAACTTGTGTTGATCTTCAATGACATGGGCAAACCCTCCTTGAAGACCAAAGTTCACAGAGAAGTAAGGCAAGCCTCTGGGTACCTAAACAAACAAATCACACATGAAACACAGCATGAAGTCAGAAGGCTAAGCTTAATCCTTTTTCTTGCTCTCTGACATGACAGTAATTCAGTAGCCCACAAGACAAACATACAATGAATATACAATTCTAAAACAATGAGGCAATGAACTAACTTCCCAAGCAGAAGATTTCATTTTGATAGACTTTCAGCCAGATAGCTCTTCATCCTATCTAGCAATTATAATCAAGACCAATTATTTTCCTATCTTTGGGGAAAACAGGAAAGGAAAAAAGATACCTTTTAAAATATAATCACAGTCATTTTCCTTATCTATATAAATAATTAATAAAGATATGTTTTCTTATAGTTTATTCACAATGCATAATAAGAATCTGTCCATATACTTAAAGCTTGATTTATGGTATCTTTGAATTTTTACTATAGTTATCAAAAATAAACAAGAACAATCATAATTTTCTTTATTCACTCATAAAATGAATATGGCAACACTTAATTTACCAATCTCATTCCAGAATATTTCCAGAATTAATTTTCTGTTATTTTTACCCTTCCTTTCTTCTTCCCCCTCCTCCTTCCCACACAAAAAGTGTCTTAAACTTTATCTTGACTGACAGACTGTAATTTCTTGCCTTTTCTATCAATTAAATAGATACTGTATTCTTGTTAAGGTTTTTCCTTCATGCTCTAACTCTGTCACTAGGAATTATCCAAGTGGATCAAGTTATAGCAACATTTTTCGAATCCAGTCTTCACACAGTATTTACTCATCTACACAATGAATCACATCTCCCTACCTAACAATACGAATTTTGCATTGTGCCCAAAAGAAGATAACAACTTAAAGAGTAAAGTACAGTATGGTAGAGAACAGTTACCTTAAAATACTACAAACAGTATTATAGGAAAAGCATAGGATTTAAAAAAAAGTATAAAATTCGGAAAAACATTATTACACGTGGCTTTATGTATTTCTATATTTTTAATATGATAATCATATACGCAGTTACCTAGCTATCTTGCTAGAAGAGTTATTAATCAGTAGGCATTGTAAAACCTATAATATCAAAGGATGTATACATTTAACACCTTCTATTTATTACACTGGCCACCAGAGGGAAGGTGAATGGAACAGTGGTACCTCCCTTTAAAGATATTGAGAGAATTACAGCCAAAAAAAATATTTATAATTTATAATTTTAAATCACAGTAAAAAAAGGACACTGACCATTCAAATTTTTTCCTCTTATTCCACTTGATACTTCTGACTTCCTATAAGTATCTTAAATTTCAGTGTCTGAAAGGTAACCTTGATATGAGCTCAAGTTTTCCTTATGAAGTACTTTCCTTAATTTAAAAAGCAAGTCCCTAGATGCTTGTCTTTTAAAAACTGTTGTAATTGATACGAACTAAGACTTAAAATAACATTTTTAGAAATTGAGGACGAATTCTCATGAAACCTCAATAAAACAGTTTGTGAAACTGATCATTTTTCTGGACCATTTATACAACTCCTCTGCATCAACCATTTATATGTGTTTCCCTTTCCTACCACCATCGATGTCACACTGCACCACTAAGAAACAAAAGACCCAGAAAAGGTAAACAAAACAGGCAGAAAGTGAATCTTATACTCACACTACAAGGAAAAGTATAGATTAAAACAGACAAAGACAGGAGCAGGTATTTAGCATAGTGGTTAAGTCACTGCTTGAACACCCCAAAGCCAATATCAAAGTGCCTGCTTTGAGTCCTATCTACTCCACTTCTGATTCAAATTCCTACTAATGTGCATCCTTGGGAGGCAGCAGTTGATGGCTCAAGTACTTGGGCCACTACCTCTCATGTGGAAGACCTGTGTGGAGTTCTGGGCTCCTGGCTATTGCCTGACTCAGCACCAGCCATTGAAGGCATCTGGGGCATGAACCTATGGAAAGAAGATTTCTGTCTGTCTGTCTCTGCTTTTCAATTAAAAATGAAAATATATAAAAATGCTTTTAAAAATAAAAGTAATTATGGATCTCTATTACAAGCTAAGAATCTAACTTGTGAAATAAATATATAAAACACCATTGAATTCCTATGAAGCAGGCAAAAAACTAGGAAATTAGTAAACACATAGTTTTTCAAAAAAGAAAAATTATGTTCTCTTAGAAGTGAAAACATTAAAATAATATAATATTGTTAACCTTATATTCAGAAACATTTTTATCATTATTAAAAAACACTGAAAGGCCAGTGCTGTGGCACAATGGGTTAAGCCTCCATCTGTTGTGCTGGCATCCCATATGGGTGCCAGTTTGAGTCCTGCCTGCTCCATTTCCAATCCAGCTACCTGCTAATGCACCTGGGAAAGCAGTGGAAGATGACCCAAGTGCTTGTGCGCCTGTACCCAGATGGGACGCCAAGAAAAGCCCTTGGCTCCTGGCTTCAGCCTGGTCCAGCTATGGCTGTTGCAGCCACTTGGGAAGTAAACCAGTGGATGAAAGATCTCTCTCTTTCTGTCTCCCTTCTCTCTAACTCTGCTTTTCAAGTGAATAAATACATCTTTTAAAAAAAATTTATTAACCAAAAAAGTAAACTTCTTTGGAATTACTCATACATTAAAGTTCTCTTGATAATTACGAATCAAAGCTAAGAAGCAGCTCAGGAGGTCATCTGGTTCATTAGCCAACTACTATGAGTTTCAAATAGCCTCAGATATAAGACTATGTGATGTCTTAGTAAAGGCAATGGTTCTCATATTTGAGAAAATTTAAAGCTGAATATACAGTTGATGTTCATACAAGGACCGATGTCTGTTTCCTACTTTCCATATTGGTTAAATTAAAATACTGAATTTCTGGATACTTAATTGAGGTCTTTTTCCTGATTTTTAAAAACAAACAATAGTTAGTTGTCACCGATCAGGGAGAACATATATTTGTCCCTTTGGGACTGGATTATTTCACTCAGGATAATGTTCTCCAAATTCCTAACAGGGATCACTTTTCAGTTAAAATTTAAACACCTAAGAATAATTGTGTATTAATTACTGAGTTCAACCAATAGCATTAGAACAAAAAAAAAATACTAAAATGGATAAAGTATTACATTGTACATCAACAGTCAGGACAAGAGATGATCAAATCACTGTTTCTCATAGTGTCCATTTCACTTCAACAAGTTTCAACGGTGACTTGATCAGCCCTTGCCCTGACTGTTGATGAACAACTTAATACGTTATCCCTCTTAGTATTTTTTTTGTTTGTTCTACTTAATACTTTTGGTTGAATACTGTAATCAATACACAATTCTTCTTAAGTGCTGAAACTTAACTGAAAAGTGATCGCTGTTAAATATAAGAGTGGGAATAAGAGAGGGAAGAGATGTATAATTTGGGACATGCTCAAGCTGACTTGCCCCAAATGGTAGAGTTAAAAACATACCAGGGGATTCCAATTCAATCCCATCAAGGTGGCATGTACCAATGCCATCTCACTATTCCAAGTGATCAATTTCAGTTCACAATTGATCATAATGAAAGGACTAAGAGTCAAAGGGAGCACATAAACAAGTCTAGTACCTGCTAACACTAACCGATGGAATAAATAAAGGGGAGAGTGATCCAACATGGGAAGTGAGATACTCAGCAGACTCATAGAATGGCAGATGTCCTAAATAGCACTCTGGCCTTAGAATCAGCCCTAAAGGCAATCGGATCTGGCTGAAAAGCCCATGAGAGTATTTCAGGCATGGAAAGCCAAGACACTCTGGCAAAAGATCTCTGCGAGTGAGATCCCAGTGGAAAGAACAGGTCTTCAAAGAAGGAGGTACCTTTCTCTGAAGGGAGGAGAGAACTTCCACTTTGACTATGACCTTGTCTAAATATGATCAGAGTCGGTGATCTCAAAAGGCTTCCATAGCCTTGGCAACTCCTGACAAGAGCCTAGGGTGATTACTGAGGCCATAAACAAGAGTGTCAATTTGTTAAGTCAACAACAGGATCACTGTGCACTTACTCCTCATGTAGGATCTCTGTCCTTAATGTGCTGTACATTGTGATTTAATGCTATAACTAGTACTCAAACAGTATTTTTCACTTTGTGTTTCTGTGTGGGTGCAAACTGTTGAAATCTTTACTTAATATATGCTAAACTGATCTTCTATATATAAAGAGAATTGAAAATGAATCTTGATGTGAATGGAAGGGGGGAGGGAGAGGGAAAGGGAAGGGTTGCGGGTGGGAGGGAAGTTATGGGGGGCGCACTATAATCCATAAGCTGTACTTTGGAAATTTATATTCATTAAATAAAAGTTTAAAAAAAAAAACAATAGTTACTAGATGGGTCATTAATAGTAAAACTGTTTATAGTGTAGCAAACAGGGAGTAATACATTTCTTCTAAAATCTGTACCTTGAAACATTCTTTAATAAAGATTTATTCATTTATTTATTTTAAGGCAGAGTTACAGAGAAAGAGATGAAGAAACAGAAAAGAGAGAGAGATTTCCATCTGCTGGTTTACTCCCCAAATGGCTGCAATGACTGGAGGTATGCAGATCTGAAGCCAGGAGCCAGGAATTTCATCCAACTCTCCCATGTGGGTGGCAGAGGCCCAAGCACTTGGGTCATCTTCTACTGCTTTCCCGGGTGCATTAGCACGGGGCTGATCAGCAGCAGAGCAGTCAGAACATAAACCGGCACACAACTGGGATGCCAGAGTTTAAATCAGTGGCTTAACACACCATGCCACAATGTTTTCCCGTAACTTGAAATATTTTTGACACTGTTACTGAAGCTATCTTCTAAAAAAAGATTTTATGGCATGGAAAAATTATGATTTATGAGGCTTAAAACCTGGGCAAAAACATGTACATGAAGCACTTTTTTCTATAAACTATTAAGGGAGAGAAATAAGACATTTAGGGTTTATTTCATTTTGCTTTGTTTTCTTTATTTTTTTGTTTGTTCGTTTGTTTTTTGACAGGCAGAGTTAGAGAGAGAGAGACATAGAGAAAGGTCTTCTTTTTTCCGTTGGTTCACCCCCTAAGTGGCTGCTACGGCTGGCGCATTGCAGCCGGCACTCTGCGCCAATCTGAAGGCAGGAGCCAGGTGCTTCTCCTGGTCTCCCATGGGGTGCAGGGCCCAAGGACTTGGGCCATCCTCCACTGCCCTCCCGGCCCACAGCAGAGAGCTGGACTGGAAGAGGAGCAACCAGGACAGAATCCGGCACCCCAACCGGGACTAGAACCTGGGGTGCTGGTGCCACAGGCGGAGGATTAGCCTACTGAGCCACGGAGCCGGCCAAGAAAATCTTTAAAAAAAAAAAAAAGTTCATGGAGAGGCCGGTGCTATGGCATAGCGGGTGAAGCCACTGCCTGCAGTGCTGGCATCCTATATGGGCGCCAGTTTGAGTCCCAGCTGCTCCACTTCCAATCCAGCTCTCTGCTATGGCCTGGGAAAGCAGTAGAAGATGGCCCAAGTCCTTGGGCCCCTGCACCAGCATGAGAGATCCAGAAGAAACTCCTGGCTCCTGGCTTCAGATCTGTGCATCTCTGGTCATTGTGCCAATTGGGTAGTGAACCAGCGGATGGTAGACCTCTCTCTCTCTCTCTCTCTGCCTCTCCTTCTCTCTCTGTGTAACTCTTTCAAATAAATAAATAAATCTTAAAAAAAAAAGTTTATGGAAAATGGAATTAAAAGACCTAGAACCTACTGTGAAAACAAGTTTGAAATCCATGCATAATCTTTTAACAGTATAGCTGTTCTATGAACTTTCTGAAAACCCTGTAAGTGTAATAAGGAATCCTATTAACCACATATCATATATCAGGTGTCTGGTTTTCCAAAACAAATTAAGTAAAGATAATCTAGTGCCATCTATTAGAACATGGTTTGGTAAAATTTTCTCTGTGAAAGGGCCACACAACAAAGTACTTTAAGCTTTGCAGATCATAGGGTCTCTTTTGGGACTACTTAGCTCTGCCCTTTTAGCAGGAAAGCATCCCTGAAAATGGTTATGTTCCAATAAAATATCATTTACAAAAGCAAGTAGAAGACTAGATGTAACACAGAGGCTTCAGTGTCAATCCCTGCTTTAGAATATTAACTCCATGGGCCGGTGCCGCGGCTCACTAGGCTAATCCTCTGCCTTGCGGCACCGGCACACCGGGTTCTAGTCCCGGTCAGGGCGCCGGATTCTGTTCCTGTTGCCCCTCTTCCAGGCCAGCTCTCTGCTGTGGCCAGGCCTCTTCCAGGCCAGCTCTCTGCTGTGGCCAGGGAGTGCAGTGGAGGATGGCCCAAGTGCTTGGGCCCTGCACCCCATGGGAGACCAGGAGAAGCACCTGGCTCCTGCCATTGGATCAGCACGGTGCGCCGGCCACAGTGCACCGGCCGCAGTGGCCATTGAAGGGTGAACCAACGGCAAAAGGAAGACCTTTCTCTCTGTCTCTCTCTCTCACTGTCCACTCTGCCTGTCAAAAAAAAAAAAAAAAGAAGAATATTAACTCCATGAAGACCAGCATCTTCTCTGTTTTGGTCTATCTACTATGTACAAAAAGCAGGTACTCAATAATATTTTTAGAGTAAATTACTTTTTTGAATAGAAAACCAAAAACGAATCAAAACTTCTATTAAACCTCTGTTCCACTTAATTTAGATTTCTATAAAAAAAAATGATCATCCCAAAAGTACTCAACTTACATATAACTTGTATCAAAAAGTTGATTGGTAAATTAAGATTAAATTAGGGGCCAGCACTGTGACGTAGGAGGCCAGGCCTCTGCCTCTAGCACCAGCATCCCATATGGGTACCAGCTGAATCGCTGCTACACTTCCAATTCAGTTCCCTGCTGATGGTCTGGGAAAGCAGTGGAGGACAGCCCAAGTGCTTTAGCCTCTGCATACACATGGGAGATCCCAAAGGAGCTTCTGGCTCCTGCCTTCAGATCAGCTCAGCTCCAGCCATTGTGGCCATTAGGATGGAAATCATTCTCTCTCTCTCTCTCTCTCTCTCTCTCTCTCTCTCTCACACTCTCTCTCTCTCTTCCATCTTTCTGTCTGTAACTCAGCCTCACAAATAAATCTTAAGGGGGCTGGGGCCGTAGCTCACTTGGTTAATCCTCTGCCTGCAGCGCAAGCATCCCTTATGGGCACCGGGTTCTAGTCCCGGTTGCTCCTCTTCCAGTCCAGCTCTCTGCTGTGGCCCGGGAGGGCAGTGGAGAATGGCCCAAGTGCTTGGGCCCTGCACGCGCATGGGAGACCAGGAGGAAGCACCTGGCTCCTGGCTTCGGATTGGCGCAGCGCCGGCCGTGGTGGCCATTTGGGGAGTGAACCAATGGAAAGAAGACCTTTCTCTCTGTCTCTCTCTCACGGTCTATAACTCTACCTGTCAAATAAATAAATAAATAAATAAATCTTAAAAAAAAAAAAAGATAAAATTAGGAAATAGGCAGGTCCACATAAGAGTAATAAACCCACAACCTCATACTCAAGTACTATTTTATAAGTAGTATATTTTCTTTGTCAACAAATAATATAGTTCCAGATTCAAAATGAAGGCTCTAGGAAAACTTATGCTCATTATAATTCTAGTGACAAAATGCTCTTCTCACCTCAGTCCCAGAAGAGCACAGAAGCCCACAAAAGAAGCTCTCGCAGTAGATTCTAAAGCTGCTACAGCCAATTATGGGAACAAGAATTGTTTGGGCAAACAAAAAACCCTCTTACAGACAAACATTTTATAAACCAGGTAAGATATAGAATTACTTACTCCACCTTCAGTCACTCAGCCAAACTGTCTACTTCTCAACTAAACTAAGATAAGGAAATAATGAAAATCTTTAATACTAGGGTAATTTTATTTTACTTAAGTTATACAAGTTTCATGTATTTCATATATACAGATTTAGGAACACATTGATAGTTCCCACCATACATACCCTCCTTCCCACCACTCTCCAACCATTCTTCCTCCTCTCCTATTCTCATTCTAAATTTTTACAAAGATCTCTTTTCAGTTTACTTAATGATCGTAAGGTTAACTCTACACTAAGTAAGGAGTTTAACAAGTAGTATGAAATACTGTGCTCGCTTGATAAGGGTCTGAATGCAGACCCACCTGATGAGAAGATGTCACTCCAGGGAAGCAGAAGCTTCGTGTCCTCACAGGCTCACAACCAGGAACATCACCACTCGGACTACACCGGCTGATTGGGGATTTTGGCCTTCTGTATGTTAAGCTTACTATCTTGTGATTTTGATTTTTTTTTTAATGAAGTATGTTTGGGTACAAAGTATTTTGTGATGGTTAAATTGGGAAGTAAGACAGATCTGCAGGTCTCTCTTCCATCACAGCTTTCTCTTGTTCTTCATGGTGGTGATGAATAAGAGTACTGCTACCCTAATGGGGTTCACTGGAAGTCTGTGTTCTCCTACCTCTTCCAGTCTTCCCATTAGCTCAACTTTGAGATAATGGGAAATTAACTGGAATCTGAAAATGTAAACTATGGGTACTACTTTTTAAATAAATATTGGTAATGAAAATGTGCCTTTAGTCTACAGCCATACCACCCTGAACACACCCGATCTCATCTGAAAATGTGCCTTTAGATAAATACTAGTAATCAAAGTGTGCCTTTTGAAGATGTGTTCTGAAAGAAAGGTAATGATTCAGTGTGATGTGGGTGCAACTTTCATCAAATAGTTTTTACAGGATTTTGAGAGTTGCTGTATTAATTTTTATAACAGAGAGCTACTGTTTTATACCCTAAAATTAAAATAGTATGAAAATATTTTTACATGTCTGACATGCCAGTAAAGTTGGATTATTTAAGATATGGCTACAAGTCAAAATACACTAGCTGTATTTTGTAAGATGTCATGAACATAATTCTTATTTAAATATTGTATTTTTTCAATAAGTATATTTATATTGACAAACATGGTAGACTAAGGGCAATAAAATCATTGTCTTAAAAAAAATAGTATGAAAAAGAAACCACTATTCTTCAACAGAAGAGACAAGAGCTGTTAATAAAAAAAAAATTTGATACTTACAGACTTTCTGATATCTTTTGAAGAAAGATCAATCAATTTCTTGTTCATGGACCACTCTTCATCAGATTCCATTATGGCTTTCTAAGAAATAATTATTGTTAAATTAAAAAAGTAATGTATTAGTAAATACAAAGCGTTAAAAAGAAAATAATACAATGAACTAATTACAAGAGATGGTATACATACTATACTTTTTCAGAATGAATTAAGGCTTTATTTTAGTTATTTACACATAGAATTTCCTGATTTATTTAAAAATTTTATTTATTTTTATTTGAAAGGCAGTAAGAGAGAAAAGGAAAGAGAGGGAGAGAGCTGTTCAAAATAAGCAGGGCAGGGTCGGGCTAGAGACAGAAGCCAAGGGTCTCCCATGTGAGTGGCAGTGACCAAACCACTTGAGCTATCACTTGCTGCCTCCCAGAATGCTTACTAACAGGAAGCTGATCAGAAATGGAGCTGTAATTAAACCCAAGCATTCCAACATGGGATGTAGCCACCCCAAACAGCATCTTCGCCACTACACCAAACACCTACCGCTTGATTTTTCAAAGTCCCATCTTTCATCAATTATAACATTTTTTTTACTTGTTCTTTTTTTATTTTTTTTTAAGATTTATTTACTTGAAAAGCAGGGTTAAAGAGAGAGAGAGACACAGAGAGAGGTTTCCCATCTGCTGTTTCATTTCCCAAATGGCCACAATGGCTGGAGCTAGGCCAGTCTGAAGTCAGGAGCCAGGAGCTTCTTCCAGGTCTCCCACATGGGTACAGGGGCCCAAGTACTTGGGCTGTCCTCCACTGCTTTCCAGGCACTTCAGCAGGGAGTTGATCAGAGGGGGAACAGCCGGGATTAGAACCGAAGCCCATTTGGGATGCTGATGCTGCAGGTGGTAGCTTTTCCCGCTACTCCACAGCACTGGCTACTCATTCTTAACTCTTCTAATTTCAGCTCAGCTTTACATGACAAAACAACCCTTATTAAGACTAAACAATTTAATACTGAAGATAGAGAACATAAGTTTACAAATTTTTTATTGAATTCATAGAAATCCAGTCAAACACATTTAGTTTTGTTGCTCTTTTCCAAAATATCAAGAGCAATTTATATGCTTTCTGGCAACCAAGGACTTGAACTAATTTTTGTCCTATAGCAAGTAAAAATGCTGAAAGAAACTGCTCTAAAAATAAATCACTTTTTAAAAAAGACAGGGAAGTACATAAAAATGGAATTAGAAGACTAGGCTAAGCAGTTTAAGTATGACTGCTTTACAGTAAAGAAATCTTAATAGAAAATCTAAAGTCATGAGTATAAAATTATCTCAATTAGTACACTATCATTACCAGTGAAATAAATTTTAAGGAAGGACATCCAGTAAGTACAATTTAAATATATCATACATTTCCCTTTTTAAAAGGTATAGACTGCCTGGCTTTACATTATAATGCAACACATTCAATACAAAATTGAAGTGAAATAAAATAAGATAAATACATCTTCAATGATCAAATTAAAAGTTTGCTGCATAAAAGTAATACACTCTTCCGCTAAGACATGACATTTCTGTCATTTCCCATAAGCAACAATGACTTGTCTACACTGGGCCTACAGCCACAATTACCTAAAACTCTACTAAGGAAATATTAAAAAACACATTGAAAAATGTAGAATAATTTCTTTCTCAACTAAATTTCATTAACATAAGATATGAGCATGAGTCTTTGGGATTACGTTGCCTTACTCTCCCATACTTTAATAGCACAATTCTTCAAATCAAATTATCAGGTGTTTTTAAAGATTTCTAGAGAGAAAGTAGATTTTCATCAACTTGTTCATTGTTTATAATCCTTTTTACTGGAATTTATGCTCATATTAATAAATCTTATCATCTCTTACTGTCTAAATGTTTCAAATGCAATCTTCTTACTCAAACTCACAATCCATTACCTTCCTTTTTCTTTAACCATATGCATATTTCAAATACGATTCTATATTTACATATTTGTTAGTTTATAAATCATATTACATTCAGGTCACATACGATTTAATAAGCTATCAGAATAGTGTTATGGCTCTTAGTTGGTTACAAATCTCAGTCATTTATTTCACATCCAAAAATGTACATAAAAGTTACAAGTAGTACTACAATGAGATACTAAGTACTAAAATTTACATCAATAATTTGCCTCAGCAATTGCAATTTGTACTGTTTGAGTGTTAAAATCTCTCATTTAAATGACCAGTTGTTGAGATCTGTGATTTTAATTTTCACTTGAAAGAACCTCATTGTAAAACTGATTTCATTTGTTTGAGAAATGAGAAATTACAACAGAAATTCTAAGTTACCATTCAACAGTATATTCATACGTCTAAGCAAGTATGCTTTTAAAGGGACAAAATTCTAATTTCTTTCAACAGAAATTTACAGTAGTAACATTTAAACCCTTACTACATTTCTTACATGTTTTAAAATTTGGTAGGTATACAGAAGGAAAACTATATGAGCAAAGATAACTGTGTTCATGAAACAGCAACGTACTAAAAAGTAAGTATGATTGCCAACACTGCCTATAAATACCTTAAAATAGATGGGAGCCATATCACCCACTTCCTTTGGGAGAGGAATACATTCATAAATCATGTGATACTGCTTCTTCAAGTTCGTGTTAGTTTCTAAAAAGATGCAGTCCAAACCTTTATCTTCAAACATCTTAACCAATGATTTTCTGAACATCTAAAGGGAGAAAACCTTGGTAAATAAAGAACTCACAGAAAATTCAAATTAAAGCACTTAAAAGAGATTCAAAACACAAAAACAATAAAAGATATAATAAATCTCTCTAAAAAAGTAATAATGCCTAAAGTCTATTTTTACAAATATAGTTACTTTATTTCCTAAATTTTCTATAGAATTTCACAAATTTAAGAAACTTTAAAAACTGAAACCAGGGGCTGGCGCTGTGACATAGTGGGTAAAGCTGCCGCCTGCAGTGCCAACATCCTATATGGGTGCTGGTTCAAGTCCCAGCTGCTCCACTTCCGAACCAGCTCTCTGCTATGGCCTGGGAAAGCAGTAGAAGATGGCCCAAGTCCTTGGGCCCCTGGACCCGTGTGGGAGACCCGGAAGAAGCTCCTGGCTCCTGGCTTCGGATCAGTGCAGCTCCAGCCGTTACGGCCAACTGGGGAGTGAACCAGCGGATGGAAGACCTCTCTCTCTCTGCCTCTCTTTCTCTCTCTGCATAACTCTGACTTTCAAATAAATAAATAAATAAATAAATCTGAAACCAATTCTATATCTATTGGAAAAAAATCACGAATAAATTTTAAAAAATAAAAATAAATTTTCATGAAATAATATGCAGAACTGACAGCAAAATCAAGGAAAGCATCCATAAGTCAAAAAAACAAAGTCTGGGAGGTAGTATCCTTAAATTCAGGAACACACAACAAGTAGAATTCACTTCCAATTGCTTCTCTTTGCTCATTGCATTTGTATATTCAGGCAGTCCTACCAAGTGTCTGAAAATCTAATACACTACAGATGAAAAGTAAGATGGTTTTATTTTCCTAAAGAACTTAAGCATTATTAAGTTCCTTGTGGATGGCTGATGCATAGATGAATTTCACTCCTGTAGACCTGAAGGATAGATGCTTATAGAGGGTAGCTGTGCACAGCTTAATGGTCCAGAATATTTATAAGCATTCACATGGTAGCTTCATAGATGCAGGTATGGGCTGAGGGAAAAAAGGAACAGACTGAACTCTGGACATCAGAGGCCAACTCCTCTCATACCACAATGTTCTAGTGTCTGAAAATTCTAAATACAAAGTTGATCTTGGAGGTGTTCTACAAGTATATGCGTCTACGAAAGAGGATTACACATTTTATTTAGATGTGTTAGCTTGATTTACAGATTTTTAGTCTTTTAAGCTTTGTACTTTGAGGTGATTATTTTTAATTAATTTTATTAACAATTTTGTTCTTATTTTAAGAAAATCATTAACAGAAATACAAAAATTGGACATATTTATGGGGTACCATAAATATGGATTGGATACATGTTAGAGTAAATATATATATCTCCTGAAACATTTAATATTTCTTTATGGAAAAAAATCCAAAATCCTATCTTTTAGGTTTTATTCAGCTTAATATATTTTTGAGATAACATATTTTTAATTTACATGATAGTCAAAGGCTTAATGGTTTACTAAATAGTTTAACAAATAAAAGTGAAAAAAGGCCACAGTCCAGAAAGAGAATAGGTTAAGGGCTATAAACAATAAGCACCACTGACTTATGGAGTCTCTGTGCTGTTCTAAAACTTCTTTACTAAACTTTTCATCAATAACTCCCCTGGAATCAGTATATGGGTGAGATATTTCTCTCTCTCTCTCTCCCTCTCTCTCTCCTTGTCTCTCTCAGTTATCATTATCATTATTATTATTCTGTAGTTATCAGAAATAATACAGAATGATCTAATGTACTCTTTGCTCAGTTTTCCCCAATGGTAACATCCTACAAAACTGTGGTATTATTATCACAACAAAAATACTTGCATTGATACAGTCAAGAAAGACACAGAACAATTCCAACACCAATAATAAAGATCTATCTTATTTTTAAGATTTATTTATTTAAAAGGCAGATTTAGAGAGAGAGAGAGGGAAAGAGAGATCTTCCATCCACAGGTCACTCCCTAAATGGCCTCGAAGGCAGAAGCTCGGCCAGGTGGAAGCCATGAGCATCTTCTGAGTCTCCCACATGGGTGGCAGGGGCCAAAATACTTATTAGACTACCTTCCACTGCTTTCCCAGGTGCATTAGCAGGGAGCAGCCAGGACAGGAACCGGCACCCATATGGGATGCCGGCATCGCAGAGGGCCAGATGAAGACCCAGATGAAGCTCCTGGCTCCTGGCTTTGGCCTGGCCCACTGTGGCGTCTGGGGAGTGAACCAGTGGATAGATGATCTCTCTCTCTCTGTTTCTCCTTCTCTAACTCTGACTTCCAAATAAATAAATAAATCTTTTTGTAAAAATGAAATATTTTAACTATTTTAGTTCCCTTCTTAAGCTTGCTGGTTTTATGAACCTTTTTAAAATTTTCTATATGGTTTTTCTGTCTTCAATTTCACTGATTTCTAGGCATTATTATTCTCCTTTCCTCTTTTATGCCTTCAAGGTTCTTGATGTGGGACTTTCCTCCTCTTTTCTATTTAGTGCTATAAATTTCTCTCTCAGTATTGCTTTAAAAATTTGCCTTAACAAATTTTTAATATACTAATTTAATGTTCATTCAGATTCAATTTATTTTTTTAAATTTCCCTTGAGACTTCTCTTTGATTCATGGATTATCTAGTATTAGTATTTCTTTTACTGATTTCTAGTTTGATTCCACTGTGTAAAGAACACACCTTATATGATACTAGTCATTTTAAATTTAATGAGGTTAGTTATGAGGCAGGATACTGTCTATTTTGCTATATGTTCCAAAAAGAAAATATACTCTGTTATTTTGGGGTGGGATATTCTATAAATATAAATTAAATTCTGCTGACTGGTGGTTTTTGAAAGCCAAATAATAGGCAAAATGATATCCAGGTTCTAATCCCTGGCACCTATTAATGTTACCATCTATGGCATAATTAACTTGCAAGTGTGATTAAATTAAGAATCTAGGAAATAAGGCAGAAGTGTATTCCGGAATTATCTGAATATATCCTAATTGTGATTAGAGTTGCCTTTGAAAAAGGAGGCAGACATATCTTTCTACTAGAGAGGAAAAGCAGTGTAATGAGAGTAACAGACAGGAGGGAAGCAGACACCAGAAATTCACAAAGGGAAGGAATGGATTCTCTTCAGTGTCTCCAGCAAAAACCAGCCCTGACATCACCTTGATTTTAGTCCCACACAACTCATTTGGAATTCTGATCTCCAGAACTGTGAGACAATATACTTCAGTCATTTTAAGCCACCAACTTGTGGTAATCTGTCACATCAATAAGAGGAAACTAACACAATAGTGTTTTGAAGTTCTTCTATATCCTTCCTGATTTTCTACTTTGTTCTATCAACAGTTGAAAAGGTAGTGCTTGTAGTGTCCAACCATAACTGTAAATTCAATTTGTCTCTTTCTTCTTTCAGTTCGATCAATTTTGCTTCACTTAATATTTATATAATTATATATTTAATATACTTAACACGCTTCATATATGTATGCATACATACATACACACATATTTATACACATACACAGACACACCCAAGAGTATTCTAAATAATTTATCACAGTCTACTGGAGTCACAAGTTCAAGTGAAATATTGAAACCTTATCTTGTTTTACATCCCTTTAGCCTCCCCATTTAAAATGTAATTGTCCTAAATACTTCCTCTACATACATTTAGAAACATATCAGACAGTGTTGTAACTTTTTACTTCAATCATCAAACATAATTAAGAAAATTATGGAGCTGGGAAATGAATTTACTCATATTTTTACTTCTTTCATTTTTCTTTCTCCCTTCTTGATTTCCTTTCTGTTTAGAAAACTTCCTTCAGACAATCTTTTAGGGTAGGTTTGCTGATGACATATTCTGTTTTCTATCATCTGAGAATGTCTTGATTTTCTTCTTCATTCCTGAAGAATGCTTTCAGTGAATACAGAATTCTAGTTCACAGATCTTTCGGCACTGGAAAAATGTGATGTTACTTCCTTCTGGCTCCATGGTTTCTGGTGGAAAATATGCTGTTGTTCACATTACATTTCTTTTACAGCATATTCCTAATTGTTTACTGAAACATTTTCATGATGGCTGCTTTAAAAATCTTTGTCAGGTAATTAGAACATTTTTGTTATCCTGACATTATGTTATCTTGACATCAGATGTGGCTTCTCCCCCATTCATGTGTTCGTAGCTTGGTCTACAATGTGCTGATTTGAGAGATGGTGAGACTTTTCAGAGCTGAGACTTAGAGGGAAGTCCTTGGAAGTCCTGCCCTTGGACATAATTAAAGTAGTTCTCATGGGTTAGTTCTCAAGAGGTAGTTGTTATAAAAAAGAACAAGTCTAGCCCCACCCAGTTCTCTGGCTTCCTTTCTGGCAATGTGATCTCTTGCTCCCACAGGAGCTCCCACCACTGTGGTGCCATGAGGCCTTTCACCAGAGTCAAGCTGCAATGCTGGTGCTATGCCCTGGAACCAGCAGAATTGTGAATTAAATAAACATCTTTTCTTTACAAAGCAACCAAGCTCCAAGTATTTTGTTATAGTAATGAAAAAAAACAAGGACTAACATACTTGGATACTGTCATCTGCTGATTGTCTTTTTCACACAAGTTGAGATTTTCCTTAAGTTTTTTTTTTAAGATTTTATTTATTTATTTGAGAGGTGGAATTACAGACAGTGAGAGGGAGAGACAGAGAGAAAGGTCTTCCTTCTGTTGGTTCACTCCCCAAATGGCCACAACTGCACCAATCCAAAAGTACTGAAAGGGAAGGATTCCTCATGGCAGAGCCTCACCACGTAAGGAGCGTGGCTACCTGTGTTACTGCTTGGATGTAATCTGTTGTGGAGAGGTGCCCAACTCACACTAGAGTATTCTGTAAGGAATGAATTTTTACTGTCTCAAGGTACTAACAATGAGGCTTTTTCTGTTACAGGGTAAAAAATAATAAGATAAGTAATTCACTAACATTGGTAAAAAGCTGTTTATGAAGCTAAAAGCTACTGATG